TTGAAAAGAACCGGGCTACCCAAGTTGTGACTTGCTCATACTCAATAAACAGCTCATGCAGACAGGTGCTGCCGGTATGTTGATGTAGACCAGGCCGTGAGAGACGGACGGAAAATACGACCGCAGCATCAGAGGCGGCACAGACAAATGAGTCGGCTGCGGCGTTGTAAACCGGTTCGGACGGGCGAGTCAAACGCAGGCACGGTCCCGGCAAGCTGATGTAAACCGGGCTGTAAGGGCGGCGTCTTGTACGCGTCCATTCACCGCGTAATGTGGCACGGACGAACACCGGGCAGGACGTTGCCAGCGCGTGCTTCGTACCCATGGTATAAACCACGTCTATAATGAATAATTGTCCTGCATACAATATTGCAGACCAAGGCAAAGATAAACTGCTCTTTGACAAAAATAATATGTACTAATAAAATATATTCTAGATGGACATCACCTGATGCGCCGGGCCGGAAATAATCCGTCATGAAATTGATGATCGCTAGGTGAAGTTGAAGTCGCTCACGGGTGAACCGGCCGCGGCGTGGTAAACCGGTGCGTATGGGTGAGTCGGCTGTGACGTTTGTAAGCTGGCGCAGATACGTGAATCGGCCGCGAGGGCGGACGGGTAAGTCGTCCGTGGCGTTGTAAGGCGGTGCTTACGGGCGAGTCAGCTGGCGCATTTGATGTAAACTGGACCGCGACACGCGTGCCTGTGAAGCCATGCAGCACCGCCGAACATGCATCCGTGATATAGCACCGCCCCTTTTTTTCTTTTAATAGTGGTCCTGCATAAAAAAAATATTACACGCCAGAGTAATTTGTTCCCAGGCGAATTACTACATGCTGATGAAATAGATAGAGTAAATAACACCTGATGTCTCCACGTGACCTTCTCCTCCTTTGTCCCGTTTTTTTTCTTTGTCTTCATGTGATGAAGAAAACAGCAGCTGCCTTTGATCTCCTCGTAGAGAGATATCCAAGTTTACCTCACCTCAGCCCCAGATTAGACCGGCTAATTAGGCAGCTATCCGATTTGGTTTTGTCTTGCTGAACTTGCACCAGTATTAGTAGAATTCGGATATGATAGCTGATCTGAACGTAAAGTACTATTTCTTTTTTGTCTTGTCGTACTGATATACTTGTTTAATATTCCTTCTGATCCACGCGCACGCACAGCCCTAGGGCGCTCCACAAGTCCCTATTTTTTTAATCTGATCTTCGGGTCTTCGAAGAATATGGCCGGCTTTGATTTTCTTTTGCTTGATCCCTTTAAACATCCTCTCAATCGATGCAGCAGCCGTGCACGCATACGATCCATCGGCGGCCGTCGTATTTTTTTTTCTTTCACTGCAACAGCAGTGTCTCAGATTGGCAACTTGTGGCGGTCCACGAAAACGATCTGACTGGCGGATCACCACGGCGCTTCCGGCGACCGTACGCAGCCCTTAGCTCTTGTCTTGATCCTGTAGAATTAATCACAACTTCTGATTATAAACAATGAACACGTCAGCTCTGCTAAAAAGCTGTCCCATGCCGAGTCATCTTGCGCGATTCTTCCGCATCGGTTCTTCTTCATCCGGCTAATCGCAAACTTCTCGAAACCTTAGGGAGATCCCTTCAAGAACTCAACACCACCGTGCGCAGACCCCACGGTGGGCGCCAACTGTCGTGGTTTTGTCACGGCAGATGTCCTTAGTGTGAGGACTTAGTCGCGAGGCCAACGCATCTATGTGATAGCTTGAGACGGGTTGAGCGGAATCGAGAGACGCAACACAAGACAGGGATTTAGACAGCTTCGGGCCCCGGGAAACATCATCCGGTAAAAACCCTACATGCTGTTTGAGGCTAGGTCTCATTATCATCACGAGGGAGTCGCCGTAAACCGGCTCTCCTCTTTGTGTCTAGCCCTAGAGATTATTGATTGTTGTCTGTCCCTCTTTGGGGAGCCCTGCCCCTCCTTATATATGTTGAAGGGGCGAGTTACATGTGGAGTCCTATTAGGATTAGGACTAGTCTATCTCTAATACAAACCGGATACAAGTCCTGGTCTTAACTCTTTGTAAGGTAAATATTCCTTTCCTCTTAAACCGGCCCACCATAATATGAACCGGCCTTCATGAACCGCCAGACGGGCCACCGGGTCTTGTCGCTCCTCTGGCCCGCCTGCCGGATTACCAATGAACTGTAAACCGTCTGGTCTGTGCAGGTCACCGGTGAATCGCCAAGTCCGGCCGGCTTATCCTTCCGTCCGGTTTACGCCGCGGGGCATATCCCCGACACAATTGCGTATCATATACATATTAAAGAAGGGGTAAAGAGCCCCTTCACAGTACATATCAGATTTACGAGTGCTAGCCAAGCACTCCACACCCTCCCAGAAAGCCTCCTAGCTCCAACTACGAGCTTCTCCCTCGATGGCACTGAGGGCATCTCCAGTCGCGCCCCTAGGAAGGCCTCCTCAGGCGTTTTTTTCGCGCCGGCGCTGAAAAAACGGCCCAGTCGTGCCCCAGGAGCCCGATTTTCGCCGGCTTGGGCCGAAAACAGCGCCGGCGGACCCAGCCCGAACCCGGCGCGCTGGGGGCGCCCGGCGGCGCCGGGCGAACTGTTTTGGCGCGAAAAAGCCGCGAGCCCGCCGCGTCAGCGACACGGCTCTCTTCTCGGCCCTTCGTCGTCCTCATCGCCTCGTTTTCCGTGACGAATCAATGCCAAAGCTGCCGCGCTGCCGCACCGGTCAGCCTGCACCATTGATGCCTCACGGGCGGCGCAGTGAAGACCGGACGACGCGCGTCCCTCGCCCTCCCTCGCCCGCCACGCGTACACACGGTGACACGCGCGCCTTGGCCTATATATGAAGCGCCCCGGCGCACTCGGCGACTCACACTCTCCCGCCGCCGTCGTTTCCTCCCTCTTCTCTCCTCTCTTTCGCCGTCCCCAGTTCACACCCATGGCCGAGCGCTTCCCAGGCGACGGCGCGGCGGCGAACGGCTTCGGCCGCCGCCATCTTCACGAAGACGAGGCTCGCCTCCTTTACGAGGCCGAGTACCCGGTCCCGCCGGACATGCGGGTGCCCGGGACGTGGAGGATCAGCGCGGGCGGCGTGCCGGTGCCCCCGGTACCGACCGGCGCGGCGCGGCGTGCGGAGATCGCACGCATCCGCTCGAACCTGCCGCGTGCGGCGAGGGAGGCGCCACGGTACGCCCCCGACAGCCCGCTCTGGGAACCTTACTTCCGCCGCCGTCAGGCCGAGCAGCTCGAGGCCACCAACGGCGTCGTGCCCTCCGGCAGGCTCAACGCCGCCGGCCGGCGTCTGTGGTGGGGCGTGCCCGGGCGCACGTTGGAGGCCGTCCTCGAGTACATCGAGGGCGGCAACACGCCGCGCCTGGAGTACCCCGCTCCCCCTTCCTTCTCACGCCGCCGGGGAAGCTCCTGGACCCCGAGGCGCATGGAGACTGGGGGGGTCCTCCTCCTCGTCCGACGGCTCGCCCTGCCTCCGCCCTGTCAAGCCGGAGCCCCAGGACACGCCGGTCAGCGCGCGCACCCGCAGCTCCGGCGGCGCCAACGCCTCTCCACCAACCGGCCGCTTCGTCCTCGCCGAGCCCAAGCCGGAGCCCGTCCTCCCCGCAGAGTACGAGGAGATAGCTCGGCGCGGCTTCTCCGACGAGGACGCCATGTGGTGGGCGCGGGACGACTACCTCCGCGACGAGATGGTCCGGCAGCGCCGGGCCCTGGAGGAGATCGCCGCCCGCAAGCGTGGGCGCGAGGACGAGCACGGCGTCGTGGTCCTCGACAGCGACGACGACGACGACGCCCCCGGTCCGTCCAACCCGCCGCGCCAACCGAGGGAGGGATGCAGCAGGGACGGCGGAGGCGGCGACGACGACGACGATGACGACGACGACTACACGCGGTTCTACCGCCTCCTCGGCATGTAGAACCGCGTGGGCGGGCGGCAAGGGAGACGGCGGGCGGCGAGGGAGACAGAGGGGGTAGCCCGCGGTAGTTTTTTTTTTCTTTTTTATAAAATATGTTTAAGTTTGAATGAACTCGCCGATGTTTGCATTAAATTTGAGCTGTTTTTGCGCCGTATTTGACTTTTTTGACTAACCGTGGGCGCCGCGACTGGGGGACATCACGCCCCCAGTGCGCGGTTTAGCGCCGGTGCGCCCCCAGGGGGCGTTTTTTTGCCCCTCCTGGGGGGCCAACGGCTGAAGATGCCCTGAGCACCGCTATCTTGGATGGCACCACTCCGTCCAACACTATTGCATTGCGGTGCTTCCACAGTGACCACATGGTGAGGATCAGCACCGCTCTCGCGTTTTTTCCTTTTCGCACACCACTCATTCAGCCGCACACCACAAGTGAAACGGTTGTAGGTACATCAAAGAATCTTGCAAGAATGTTGCCATCCACAACCACAGGGTGTTGGACGTTGGAACACATTTCAAGAATCACTGACTGAATTATGCACAGATTTCATTTCACTTGCAGACGACTCATCCGCTTGCAGAGACCTAGAGTGTTTGTCGTGCAGAATCACGGGAAAACTTCACTGGGAACCTTGTGTCACTAGAACTAGAATGCGAAAAGGATGACCTGAGAAACTTAAAAAGCTCAAATAATTTGCTGAATTCTACTGGATATTTAGACACGGCAATTCAAAATTGCAAAGGTGGGAAATACACTGGAACTGTCAAGATCGAGCACCTGCCTGATACCAACCAGGCGTCACATGTCATAATTATTATCACGTTAAATGGCACAACAAAGTTGAGGAGGGTGTCCATATGCTATTGTAAATCATGATATGTTTAGGGAACCAGTACGTCCCAACAAGTATCACCTCAGAAAAGGGAAACAAATTCGTTGATGTTTCTCCTACAATTCAGAGGCCAGCAACCGAATTCTCAATTGTTGGAGAAGCGACTACGGCATGAGTCAAAATTTTGTGTACAATTATTCCGAAATCAATGAGAAGCAATCTTTTACCCCAGAAGAAACAAATGGAACTATATGTCAAGGAGCAACCTCCGTGGATCTTCAACCACGTCCTTGATGCGGCGCAGAAACAGGACAGCTTCTCTGCCATCTATCAGCCTATGGTCATATGTCAGTGCAAGGTACATCATTGGCCTCGCAAGGATGGAGCCATCCACAACCACAGGGCGTTGGACAATAGAATGCATTCCAAGAATTGCTGACTGCATTAGACACGGGAATTAAGGGTTGAGTTAGGAGGTGAATTGTAGGATTTTAACAAAGAGACAAAGAAGGCAGCAAACAAAATGAGAACCTGTGGAGGGTTGATGATAGGTGTGCTGATAAGACTTCCATAGACACCGCCGTTTGAGATTGTGAAGGTTCCCCCTGCCATCTCATCAATTGATAATGCCCCCTCAGTTGCCTTCTTTGCAAGGCTGTTTATCCCCTTCTCAATGTCAGCAAAGTTCATTCCTTCCGTATCACGGATAACTGGCACCACAAGACCCTAAAGCAAAATGACATTCATATCACATTATGACAGCAGGATGCATGGTAAAAACAACGCTGGTCAATCGGTAATTCAACCTAGAGAAGGAAAAAGGTGTCAGTACCTTGGAAGTGCCAACAGCAACACTAACATCAATGTAGTCTCTGTAGATGATGTCATCGCCATCAATAACAGCATTAACAATTGGCTGATTTTGAAGCGCAGAAACAGCAGCCTTCAAAAAACAAGTGCATTTAGGACGACCCAGGAAATTACCGAAACAATTGTTTAAGCTGCTCATCAGATTGCTACTACCTTAACAAAGCAGGACATCAGACCCAATTTGACACCATGCTTCTTAACAAACTCATCTTTGTAGTCAGTCCGCAGCTTCATCAAATTGGTCCTAATGCAATGAAGAAACAGTTGTAATAAAAATGAAACAACTTATTCAGGGACGTATCAGCAGCATATAGTAAAATAAAGACATACCAAGAAAGCATTAGAAGATAAGCACAAAGATGTAAACTCAATAGGACAACTATTATGGAACATAAATACTTTTTTCGTACTCTTCCGACTAATTATTTTGGAGCATAACATGTTTGAAGCATACTTACACATTATTTATACTTGATACAGTTTAATGGTGCTTCATTTACACTTTACAGACTCATCATGTCAACCCAAGGACATAATGGAGAGGGACATTGTTTTTGGAATAATGTTAGTGGAGAAATTTGGGCAAGTTTGGTGTAACTTAGGCTCACACAGGTGCCAAAAGCCTGTGATGCATTCATGGGTACACCAACCACACTGACACTACAAAGGTACAGATATTAGAAAACAAACGACTGATGAACTTACATGTCAACTTCGTTGAATGTAGTCAGTAGTGCAAAAGTGTTCTGAGAATCCTTCAAACGATTTGCTATACGCTTCCTGAGCCTTGGCATTGACACCTGCACTTATCACAATCTAAAAATGATGTCTCCATAGCATGTCTGATCAACCATATATAACCAAATGACATGAATGGCCTTACCCGTCTCTCTCTTTCCTTTGGAGGGAGCTGAGGTTCTGAGGGGGAGGCTAGTTTTGACGCCTGTGGTTTGACAGATTCTACTTTTGGTGATTTTGCCTCGACCTTAGGTTTTTCTGGAGGAGGTGGTGGAGGGGTCTCCTTCTGGGAGGTCTCTTCAGATGGTGCAACATGGGCCTCACTTGGAGCAGCAGACTTAGATATCACGGCAACTTTGGTACCTGGAGTAACAGTGTCACCTTCACTGGCAATGAACTGCAAAGCACTGATGTGATCAGGAGAGTAACCATACTGCTAAATACACAATTGAGGTAGATTGTGGGATGTGCAAAGTAAATTTGAAATCACAAAATGCTTGGATGGCAGTCACCTTTTCAATTACCCCAGCTTCTGGACTGGAAACATCTATTGTAACCTGAAAATAGAATGGAGCACTTCAATTTTAAGGATCGTTCGATCACCAAGAACAGCAGAACAAACTAAAAACAGGTATTAAAATGGGAATGAATGAGCCAAAGCATCACCTTGTCAGTTTCAATCTGAGCTATCGCCTCATCAGCTTCAACTCTATCACCAGGTTCTGCAGCAAATAACATGTCAGGAGCATAAACATTGACGACTTGAATCACAGAGACAGACAGGTGCATACTCTTTAAGAAATTGGCAAGGGTTCCATCAGTGACAGATTCACCCATGAAGGGCACAACAGCTTCAACCAAGTCACCTTAAGACAAAGACAAGAGATGATAAAGAATTTGTCAGGCAACAATTCACTATTATTAATATCCTCTACAGGGCTGATATACCTTACCATTCTCTGAAGCAAATGATCTACTCCAAATTTGATAAGGAGAAGCATTTCGAAGGAAATAGCGTTCACTACAACAAATCATTAGAGGTCATACTTTATTCAATGACAACAGTGGGTTTTATAACAGTGTATAAGTGATAACAACCATCAACTAGACACAATAAAGTTTTATCAGTAAATAACTTATACAGTACAATCACAAAATGATAAAATGAAGCACAAAGGTTGCTCCCTACCATGTTGGCTTTGGAAGTCTCGGAACACCTGCGATGAAGATTGCAGAAAAGCATTAGTTGCTAAGGAAACTAACAGTAACCAACTTCGAAAGTAACATCTGTAGAGCTACTAACCTTCAAGTAACTGAGTGCTGAAATGTCTAGCATGTCTAGAACTCTGGAGCAAACTTAATACCTACAAGCGCACTAGAACCATTAGAACAACCTACCAAATTTAAGCATACAAAAGTAAATGAACAAAGGGTAACTATATAACTCTGTAGAAACAAATTAATGCGAAAGAAATTAGTTTTTGGCACTAAGCAGTGCCATTTACTCATTTTTCTACCGGCTGTGCCACAGACAATGTGGTCTGGTCGTGCATGTCAGCAACAGAACCAAGTGGCAAAAACAAAATTTCCCAATAGAAAAGAAAAACAGAGGTTGTGTGATGTACTATTATGTTATCGCTCGTATGTGAAGAACTCAATCATCTAAAAATTAGTGTAACCAACAAACAAAATACAGAAACATGACAGTGTGGCACGGTTGGACTACCCTAGTGACCCACTTAACGTGTTTAAGGGGACTACACGTGCATTTTCAAATTAAATGCATGTAGATGGACCCATTGCAAGTTCAAGGAACATAAGTCCACTTCACTCTTACTGCATCTTACAGTTGATCCAACCATCAACTGATGGCAAAATCCAACTAAAATAGTTAACAGATCAACGAACATGCGTACAACAGGACACATCTGCATTTATGCACTCAGCTTACGTGCGAAACTCTGTCTGCTTAACAAGGTCATAGAATTCCCAGACTACAAGATTAAGTTTCAGATATGATGAATTGGCTCATCTAGTTGAGCCATAGCATGCAAGCTCTTGTACACACATCCCCATAGTTCCCCAAATGTGTAAATCATATCAACAACTCGCATTCACTTTGCAGCATCCAGGTTTCGTTCGATATCTAGAAATTATTATAGCCTGAACTCTGCTAAATAAGGCCAAAATCAATTATGGAAGCAAGCAATAATTTGGCATGTATTCCGATCGTCACAGGTTATTCCTTCAATGTGGCTTAATAATTCTCTACAGATCGAATCAAGATTATCTTTGTCCAAAAAAAATCAAGATTATCTGACGCAAAAAGGACAAAATCTCTACAACCCATATGACGTCAAAATCCACCACACCTACCACCCGTAAAACGATCTAAAACGATCTGACAGAAAGAAGGGCTTTGAATTATTAATAAATTCTGCACAGACGACGTAGAAGAGACAGCAAATCTCCTCCACGGCAACCAAATCCTAGTGGTTCAACCATCAAACGATGTCAAAATCAAACTTAACTAGTTGACAGATCACTGAACATTCATATAAAAAAAGCATCTGCATTTGGGTACTGAGCTTACATGTGAAACTCTGAGCTCTAGTCTGCTCAATCAGGTCAAAATATCTTGCAAGCTCTCCTAGACACATCCTCCACAACCAGTTTAGCTGACCTACTTAACGTTTTTTAAGGGACCTAAGCATGCATTCTAAAAGTAAATGGATAGATGGACGACCTGATGCAAGTTCAAGGATGATAAGTAAACCACCAAACAATTGCAAAATCAAAATAAACCGGTTAACAGATCACAGAAATGGGTACAAATCTACATTGGAGAAGTTAGTATGCGCGTGAAAAATTGAGCGCTAGTCTACTCAAACAGGTCAATGAACTCCAAGGCTACATACATTACTAAGTTTCAGACATGACAAATTCCGAATTTCTTAACCATATCAACAACAAGCATTCACTTTTGCAGCATACACGTTTTGGTGGACATCTAGAGATCGTCAACCTGAACTCTGCCCAGTAAGGCAGAAACGAAGCGTGAGAAGAAGCAAAAATCTGGTATGATCTCCGATCGTCTCAGGGGTATTCCTTCATCACGGTTCAACGATCCTCTACGGATCAAATCAAGACTATCTGACGCGAAAAAAAAAGGGGTAAAATCTCTACGCCCCAACACGACGCCAAAATCAGACGTGCCACACTCGCCGTAAAACGATCCGAAGAAAATCAATTCTGCGCAGGCGACGCAGAAGATTACAGAAATCCTTTTCGCACAGAAAATACGAGGAAAGCGACGGTAAATCGCCCCCGTGGCAACCAAGCCCGTCCGCGGAAACCGCCCGGCAGATGATCCCCAATCCGGCCGAATCACCGCACCAGATCACCCGGGACATGGATACATGTATGAGAGGAAAAGGAGAAGAGGGGGGGAGGGAGGGGTTACGGCGGCGGGGCGGCGGAGGAGGAGGCGGGACGCGAGACGGGACGCCATTCGCCGGGGGGTGGGGGATCTGCGAGGGCGACGAGGTGGAGGGGAAGGGAAGGGAATGCGGGCTCTCCTAGGATGGAGAGGATGGGATTCTATTCTATTCTATTCTGTTTCGCCCCTTCGCTTTTGTAAATGGTCTTGGTACGGGAAGCAAAAAGATATTGTTGTTAACCTAAAACTAACTCGGTGCAATTTGTCGCCGCGTCCAGCCTCTGCCTAACCCCTTCTTCCTCGAGAAAACAGATTTGGCCCTCTCTTTTTTAATTTGGTTTTACATGAGAATGAGATTTGGCCCTTTCACTTAAGGTGGATTTGGTGGAATGCTCCAATGGGCCAAATAATGTGTGGACCGCAATAGCCAACGAATGTTAACGGGAGGCATCGACACTTGCGAACGTTTTTATGAAAATTTACATTGTCAGAGGATGGTAATTTCTTCATAAACACATGGCAGTTCCTGGCAAAATAAGGATACACTCCAAAAAATATAATGGGTTCGATTGAAGAAATTGCGAAGTTCTGCACATGAAAAAATGTTTGTATTGCCATCCTCTTCCGGCGAACGTTCACTGAATAATATTACCCGTATATTTTGCAGAGTAAATTTCAGATGTATTCGTCATCTATCACAGCAAAATTTACATCCACGTCCGTGGACCACCTAACGACAACTAAAAGCATTGGGGCAAGCCAAATGCACGCCGCAATCATCGTCCCTTCCTCACCGGTGCCGAACAAAACAAAACTTGTTGTAGTAGACAGTGACGAAATAATCATGTTGATGCCTCACTTGGTCGTCGCACCAGAACAGAACTGATGAAGGATCCAAATTGTAGACTAGGTCCATAGAGATCCATCGAAAACCAACACCGGCCAAATCGACACGAGATCCACCAGAGGCACACCTTCACATGTCCTCCGACGACGCTAGGCGCACCATCGGGACGGGTCTAGGTGGGGAGGAACTTATTCCATCTTCAGAGAACCGCCGTCGCCTCACCTTCTTGAGGATGACACAAACCCTAATCGACGTAAAAAAAACACCTAGAAAATAGAGCACGAACTCCCCCGTGAGTAAAGACCGAGATCCACCGCGTCTCCGTGACCCTAGAAAGACAGACGGGCGGCAATGCCAATGGGAGGCAGAGAAACTCTAATCACCTGGACAGTCCCGATAGGAGCAGGGACAAGACCTTCCATCTTGACACTGTACTCATGCGCAGAGTTGATACTGTATTTATGCACAGTGCTTTCATCTTGACCGCTTGATTTGTAAGACCTGAACCTTGCTACTGCTAGACCCTGGTTTCTTTATATGAATCGGAGAGGGTAATGCCTCTCTTTTGCTCAAAAAAAAAACAAAAATCTTAACCGCTTGCTTTTGATCGGACGCCTCACCAAGACCAAGTCAGGCACTGTAGCCGTGACTTGGCTTGCTGAAGTCATTTAATTTCCCCAAATCCAAGAAGTATACTCTTTTTTAATGAAATAATGCCCAGCATAGCACAACGCATGTCAGTTGGTAATGTTCCGGCAGCAGGAACTTGTTGCGGGTGGACGACTTCCGAAAACTGTTCAACGTCTGGCGGCTGCTAATCTAGGCGGGCCAACAAGAAACAATTCATGGTCGTCCTTGGGAAACTTCCTTGTTTCCTTCCACTGCAACTCCTCTTTCTTTCATCTCCCCTTGCACGACGGCTCTGCCACGAGGAGCATGCACCGCACGAGTACGAGTGTACGACCATGACCTCATGAGTTTAACCAACACGTATTTTCCCCTAAAAAAAATCAACACGTATTTCCACTCGCAAAACAACACCAACACATATTTCATTCCTTTTATGGGATTTCAAAACAAAAATCATTCCTTAAAGGGGTTTCAGGTCATCTAATAATCATTTTGTACTCCTAAGTTTCATGTTTGTGACATATGACCTCATAGCATCTCTAGCAGACCCACTATTCTGCGAAACTGTAAATGCAGCTTACAGTTCGCGCGGGGCGTCCATAGAGGCTCAAAATCACCGTGGCAGATCAGAAACTGTATCCAAAACCGTAAAATTTAGAAAGCACGTTTTCACGTGAGAAATTTATGCAAAAACTCGCCGGAGCATAGATCATTCGTCTTCTTCACATAGGGGCAGGTCGTTCGTACACAGCATAGATATATTACATAAAAGCTCGCCGGACCTACGCTACCGTAGCACTACACAAAAATGGAGCTCACCGAGCTCGTGCGGTAGCTGACCAGCGGCGGCGCTCAATCGGAGTCGGAGGAGTCGAGGTCGATGAAGAACTTCGCCTGTTCCGCCTTCATGAAGCGCAGGTGCGCCTCCTTGGACGCGTGCACCTGCCACGTCGCGACGCCCGTCTGGAGGAACATGTGCTCGTACTCGAGCTCGCCGGCGCTCTTCGGCCTCCTCCTGCTCCCTCGCCGACTGCTCCAGGACGAGACGCTCAAGGTGCTCCTCCTACCCCGAGGGGAGGTAGTCCTCGGGGCCAATCACGCCTCGACGCGGCGGTTCGTCGCCCTCGAGCTTGACGGCGCGCGGCCTGAGCTCCTCCGGCTCTCTCTTCATCGGAGTGAGCCGCGAGCTCGAGGCGCTCGCGGACGAGCTCCCCGCGGCAGAGGAGCCGGAGGAGGCATGGCGGCGGCGGGCGAGCTCGCGCTCGAACGCCGCCGGCGGCCGGCTATCGCGGTTGGGCCACCTCCGCGCGCCCCACTTGCGGCGGCGTCAGATCTGGCGTGGCGGCGGTGCTCCGCCTCATCCCCGGAGCTACCATACCCATCCATGGCTTTTTCAGACTCGCCGGCGGCGAGAAATCGGGCGGAGGCGGAGGGGAATCGCGGTGGAGGCAGATAGGGTTTGACCCTATCCGAGCAATGAAACCGGCTGGTTCCTATTCGGCGCCCTCAGCGCCGGATACAATGTTAATCGTACAGGGCGCATACCCCCTTGCGACCCGCGCCATAGCAGTTCAGCGGCCACGTGATAACCACCCTGCCACTCAGCATTTTGTGATCAAGTACATTTTCTTACGTCTTTTGTTCCTTCTTTTCTTTTTCTTTCTTATTTTCTTTTTCTTTCTTCTTTTCTTTTTCTTTTTCTTTTTTTCCTTTTTCTAATTCGTAATGTTCATCGGATTTCATGAACTTTTTTTAAACTTTGATGAACTTTTTCTAAAATTTGATGAACTATTTTTCAAGTTTGATGAACTTTTTTCAAATGTAGTAAACTTTTCTTCAAATTGGATGAACATTTTTCTATTTTTGTGAACTTTTTTGCAAACGCGATGAACTTTTTTCAAATTCGATGAACTCATTTTTAAGTCAATGAACTTTTTTCAAATTTGATGTTTTTTTGTGAATTCGATGAACTTTTTTCAAATTTGATGAAGTTTTTAAAAAAATCGATGAACTATTTTCTAGATTTGGTGAACTTTTTCGAATTTTGATGAACTTTTCTCAAATTCGGTGAACTTTTATTATATTTCGATGAACTTTTTTCAATTATGATGAACTTTGCTAAAATTCGATGAACTTTTTTTCAGATTGGATGGACTTTCTTCAATTTTGATGAACTTAATAAACCAATGAACTTTTTTAAAATTTTAAAAAAGTTCATTTCTTTTTAAAAATGTTTTCCTTTGATTTTTTTAGAAAAGTTCACGTATTTAGGAAAAAGGGAAAGGAAAAAAGCAAATAAAACCGTTACAGGAAAAGAGAAAAAAAAGGGGAAAAACAATGGTTTGGGACGCTTCCCCACACCAGGGGCTTTGCGAGCTGGAGAAAGGATAAAAGAAAGGAAACGAAGTCTATGAAGACAAGTCATTTGATGGTGTAGCAGTTCATGCACTGATATTTGAAGGGTGAGGTGCTGAGTTGTTCGCTGAGAGGCGCCTGCGCCGGCCCAGTAGACATCTCCTTCAGGCGTCAGGGAGCTGTTCGGGCGCATAAGGCGCCGAACAGGAGCTCTCATGAAACCGCATATATACCGGTGCGGTGAGAGTTTTTGCGGGCCGCGGTAAAATATTTACGGTCCGGGCCGCGGATGCGGTTTCTTCTCTGGCCAGAAAAACGGGCCGAACCCGTATACTTGCCGGAATTATACGGGTTCGGCCCTTTTATGGGGTCTGGTAGAGATGCTCTCATTAGTAGATTTTGGACCCTAATAAGTGTTGAACGTCGGGAGCACATGGCAACTTCAAACGTTTTTAATGCAAGTTTAGTGTAGTTGTCAAGCATGGTAACTTCGTGCTTCAGTTTATTCTTACAGAAATTTCTCGTGTGTCAATAGAATTTGTCATCCTTACGTGACTGGAATTGACATCGAAAAACGTTAGGACCAGAGTGCCACATGAGACCTAGGGCGGCATTAGACAATGACCGGAGAAGGAGCCGAGATGGGATCAAAAGCGAAGATGGAGAGGAACAACAAGAAGAGCAACACCATCGTCGGCACCGACGGAGACAAATCTTGGCACGAGGGTTGTTTCTGTTTGTTTCATGAGAAGTTTTTTTCCTATTTTATATTTATTCCTCGATTCTTTGTATTTAATTTATATTCTTTATTTTTATGCATTCCTTTTATTATTTTTTCCTTTCCTCTTTCCTATATTTGTATATTTATTTACTTTTTCCTTTTGATTGGGGTTTCAGTTTTTTCCATCTTTATTTTTCAGGGTAAAATAAAATACATAATTTTTTCTAGAGCTACGTGAACAATTTTTTTAGACATGTGAACATTTTTTAATAAAAATACAGGGGCATCTTTACAAAAGTGCATGAATATATTTCTAACAGAATGAATATTCTAAAAAAAGTATAGTGACATTTTTTAATAGTGTGAACATTTTATTCAACACAGATATTTTTCTTAAAGTATACTACGTGCTGGCTGGTAGATCGACAAATGTGCTTATCAGTTATCAGGCTGGCCCAACATGTGTCCGGCGCACCCTTTGATTTAAGGCAGAAACCCTAATTATTATCTGGTACATGTACGGGCGACAGATGCTCATGATATGATATGGTAGTACATGTACAGGCCGAACCCTAATAATCATACCAAGCTGCGTAATGACGGCGTCGACGAAACGTCCACCCCAGCGCGCATGGCCGGGCCTAGCGCCAGACGTCCTGCGCGACATCCGCTCCCGGCTCCCGTCCCTCGCCGACCGCGTCCGCCTCCGCGCCATCTGCCGCCCATGGCGCACGGGCGTCAAGCTCCAGCCGTGCCGGGCCCCTCCGCATCTCCCCTGGCTCGCCCTCCCGGACGGCACCGCCTTGGACTTCGCCCACAACAGCGCGCACCGTCTGCGTATCCCAAACGACGACGACGGCCCCTGCTACAGCGCCGGCGAGAGCATGTTCTTCCACCACGGCAACGACGGGCGGTGCTCCGTGGTCAACGGGTTCTCCGGCGCCGCGACGCCTCTCCCCGAGCTGGCCGATCTCCTGCGGTCTCACATGGTAAATCCCTGCGACGAGAAGAAGATCGAGTCCAAGCGGTCTGAGAATATGAGGATCAGGAAGGTGGCGATGTCGTCCATGGCGTCCTCGCCGAACCATCATCGCCTGCTGGCCGTTGTAGCCAGCAACTGCTCCAAATCCAGAGTCTTTATCTCCACGTGCCGACCGGCCGGCGAGATCAACTCGTGCGTTGTGACGCAGGAGACATCCACCATCCTCGACATCGCCTTCTTCCAAGGGAAGATGTACGCGCAGGTCCAGATATTCCAGGAGCTCCTCGCCGTCGATCTCACCGATGGCTGGCTCGACAAGCCGACACCGCCGGGCGTCCGACCCCAAGTGAAAGCGTTCACATCGTGGATATGGCCCCCTGACCTCCAACCGGAGATGTATCTGAAACAATTCTCCCACGACAATAACCCACAGGAGCAAGTACAGCAATATCTAGTGGAGTCCAACGGCAAGCTGCTGCTGGTGAGGAGATATTTCCGGGCCCCGCCCCCGCGAATTGACCGCAAACAACATTTAACTTGTCGGTTCGAGGTGCTCGAGGCGGACCTCGGGGACGGTCCCGGTCTTGGCCTGTGGAAGACGGCCCGCAGCCTCGATGGCTGGGCGCTCTTTGTGGGCGCGGCGTGCTCCAAGTCTTTTCGTGCTAGCGACGTTGATGGAGCTCGAGGAGATTGTGTCTACTTCCTGCTCGACCATGGCAATCCCCTTGGCCACGCTGGTGTGTACAGTGTGGTGCACAGGACGATTGTGCCGTTCATGCGAGCTTCGCGGAGGGTAAGGCCAAGGAGATGGTCATGGGATAGCCTGCGGTTTCCGGCATGGTTTTTCCCGGTTGAAGTCTAATTCTACTCCGTATTTTTTAGCAGTAAGAAGAGTAACTAGCCACACAAGCTGGTAATTGGTTCTCAGGAAATATGTAAAGAGTACTAGCATGTGGTTCAGGCCGGCGTAAGCCCGCCGTTGACTCGTCAAAAAAAAAGAGTACTAGCATCGAACTTTTATTTACATGTGGAAATCTGTTAGGGGTAAACCTTGAAAAGATCTGTATCGAAAAAATTCCTTCGTTCCACAGTATTAATTTTGCTGCATTACAATTCAGTTTGTTCGTTTATTTACGTATAACTATTCGAATTGCTATAGCTTCATTGGATAATCTTAAGGGACGTGGATTTTTAGAACATCTACACCCGGGCCTGCTATCCTGGCTGTTTAATATTGCTTTAAGATTTGCGCAACACAACTAACTTTCTATATAAAACTTTTTTTTTGTTTCTCTCACATAGAACATGTCTTGAACTTCAAACCTTTGCAGCGTGGCAAAGCTTTCTATCTAGAATCTAAGATAAATCTTTCAGAATTTTTTGTCGAACATAAATATACAAAATATGATTTTTTATTCTAGAAAATCATAATTTGTATATTTATATTTGACAAAAAAATCTGAAAGATTTATCCTAGATTCTAGATAGAAAACTTTGCCACGCTGCAAAGGTTTGAACTTGAAAGCATGTTTTATGTGAGAGAAACAAAAAAGAGAAATGTGTTTGCACGAATCGCGATGCGCAGAATGGATGGCTAGATAGGGAGGGCCTGGGTGCAGGTGTTCTATTATATGTTTTCGTAATCTTAAGTGTGGTCGATGACTGTATTCTTAGAAAAAGAGTGGTTGATGACTTCATTGGACATGTAATTAGTGACGTGAAGAGGGTTCTAGTATGAATAATCAATGAACTAGTATGATATTATAGTTAATGATGTGAAAGAGGGTTCATTGGACAATCATTCATTTATGAGTAGCTCACTACCAGCAATCTACTTCGGAACTCGAGAAGATGATCTAGGAAGGAGTTTAACTGAATACGAGAAAGGTCCTGAAGACCCAGCTAAGGAAGAAATAGATCAGCATTGAATGAAACACCGGTTCAAGATCCGGTATCTAGCGAGCAATATGAAATAACTGAGAAGAAAGGAGATGAGGAACCAACGCCACCTGAACTAAAACCTCTACCAAAAGAGTTAAGGTATGAGTTTTTGGATGAAACAAATAGATACCATGTTATTATGAGTGCTAATCCTTCAGATGAAGAAAAAGAGATATTAATGAATGCCTTTAGGAAACATTGAAAAACATTTGGGTATTCAATGGATGATTTAAAGGGCACCAATCCCTCTATATGTACTCGTCGTATATTCACGGAGGAAGGAGCTGACCAGTTCATGAGTACCAAAGGAAGCCGAACCCTGAAATGAAGGAAGTGGTAAGAAAGGAAATTGTTCGTCTACTTGATGGATGTATTATATATCCAGTTTTTGAAAGCAAATGGGTAAGTCCAGTTCATTGTGTATCTAAAAATAGGGGATTTACAGTAGTTCCTAATAGACATAACGAACTAATCCCTACCATTTCTTGCAAG